AGATGGTAGCTTGAGCACACACTTCTGTCCTGAAAATCACTATGTAAACCAGGCTGGCCTCCATCTCACAGAGATCTGCCTTCCTCTTAAGGGCTGGAATTAAAGGAGTGTACCACTATGGCCAGCAGAATACACTTCTAATAATTACTCTTCTCCAAGCCCTCTTAAAACTACAATAAAAAGGCTGCTTTTTTGTTTGTTTGCCTTTTAAAGTATAAACTCCCAAGAGTGGGAAATAGGAAAAGGGACAGAAATAAAAATTTTGAAAATAGAGACTGATGGAAAATTGATAGCTAAATATAGCAGACCTGGAAAAAGCTTCAGCCTAAGCTAGTAATAGGTAACACTGAAAAGCACATGATTTCAAAAGACCCAGTAATTCTGCACAGAAGGGTAATTACTTGTCTTCGGCACCTATTCCACAAAGGGTCTGAACATGCATTATAATGTTAACACTGTTTTATCAGAATTTATTTAATGTAAAAGAGCAAAGAGAAAAGTAAAGGTCTGGTTTGAAGTTAAATCAATGGACCAAGTAATGTTTCTGTGAGGGACTAAAGCATTATATTTAAACTCTCAAGTATTCATTTATAATGAAAATAAAATATTTCCTAGCAATTGTTTTCCCAAAAGCAAGTGGCTATCATACATGAGGCCCTGGTGGGGAGTGGGGAGATGAGAAAGACTGAGATATAAGATTGAAAGACTCTATTAATACTCTGTGGTGCCTATTTTATTATAGCCTTACTGATTGTCTTACTCGAGAAAACAATGATTTTTTCCATACTTTCCTTTGCTCAGACAAAAGTAACACTTTAAAAAGTAATTTGGTTCACAACTGAAAGGCTGAGTTTACAAGATCACCAAGATTTTGTAGCAAGCACTTAACTAAAAATTTAAAAAGTAGCATTTAAAAATATATTGACTTGGTCGTCCATGCTGCTGTAATCTCTTCAAGGGTCACACTTTCCTTGACCTTAACTTTACATGCTATTCTGGAGTCAGAGCAAATTTTCAAATCTTTCTGCTCATAATTCTCACTGCCAATTTGGCAAAAAGCAGCAAGCATAAGCTACATGACTGCATGAATGCTAAGCTACCTTGAAATTTCCTCTCCCCAGTTAACTAGTCAGTCCTTTAAAATTCAGTATCACTCATAATCTCAGGACACAGACAAAGCACAGACAAGGTCACTGTCAGAATAAAATATGCACGATCTAATTCTTTCTCCCACTTAAAATATCATTACTATTTGCATTTCTATTGGCATCCTGCTCTTAATTCCTACAAGAATTATAGTTAGTTTTCCTCACATTCTTTAGATCATTTCTTCTAAATTTTCTAAATCTCTCCTAGAAATCAACTCCAAATTTAACATATCAAACTTACTCATAGCCACAACAGAGTCCTATTTTAGAAATTTTCTTTTGGTGGGGGCGAGTAAAAAGGAACTTGAGATTCTGTAGTGCAGGCTGACCTTGAACTCAGAATGTAGTCCAAGTTATCCCTGAACTTTTAGCAATCCTCCTTCCTCAGCCTCCTGGGTACTAGATTATCAACTTGTACCAACACCCAAGGTTGGTACCAATTTTCTATGATTTTTTTTTCACTTTTAGCATCAATTTGGGAAAGGAAATAATCTGTGTTGGCTCATTTTCAGAGGTTTCCATCCATCATGACCAGGAGAGTATGGTGGAGCAGAACAGAACACATCATGTAAGCCAGGAAGCAGAGAGAGAAAATGTCTGTGCTATTTGGAGCCCCATCCTATGGAATGATACTGTCCACATTTCAGTTGATCTTACCCCCAAGGTAGTCATCATAGAAAGCACTCTCATATATACACTAACTTAAGTGCTTCGTAATTGGGTTGACTATCATCCCAGGTGAAAATGCAGAGACAGACAAAAATCTACCACTTTATTGGAAAACATGAATCCAAAATAGGGATCCTCTGGAAAAGTAATAAAATCCTTGTAGTCAATTCAAGCTTTCCCTGGACAGTGCATACCTATATCCTAAAATGAGAAGACCCAAAGATCAGATTAGAGCTCAATTTTCACCTTTAGTTCATTGTACAGTTCTTTCTCTCTTAATTATGGATTGCTTAGGTTATCCCACAAGCATTTACTTCCCAGATATAGTGTTGATGAACTACATTACTTAAGTGAGTTAAGAAGTAGTCCCTGCCCTTGAGGGCTTACAGTCTAAGAAGGAAGACAAACACATAAGTAGGAAGCTGTAATACACACTGTAGTCTAGTAACATGGAGGAAAGTTACTCAGTTAAGCCTAGAAACTAGTTAGGGAAGGAGTTATATGTTCAGTAAGAGGATGCCTGTATTAAATTTTATAGGATAAAAATTTAGTCAGGTGAACAGAAGAACAAGCAATTAAAAAAAACAATGAAAACGAAAGGTTAAAGCATAGCATAGTTGAATAAATGGTAATAAGGAGAAATATAAGGTAGCAGATGTAAACTGTTATTAATAGATTGCTGCAGAGCTGGGCATGATGGTTCCGTTCATATCTGTAATCCCTGCTTTGGGAGGCTGAGACCTGCCTGGGATATACAGTGAGTTCTAGGCAAGCCCCAACTGTACTATAAGACCTGGTTAAAAGTGGGAGGGGAGGACACAGAACAGAGATGTCTATGGGATGAACAGGAGGCTGAAAGAATCAGACTACAGGAGAACTAATATAACATACAAAAATTCTGTTATCTTGTGAATCAAGGTGAACCACATTTAAGCAGGACAAGGACACTAAGCCACATTCTACATAAGTCATTCCAGCAGATGTATATTGGGGCAAGAATGGAGGTGGGGTAACCAGTTAGGAGGCTACTGCAATAGTTCAGGCAGAAAGTAATGAGGTCCTGAACTAACAAGTAACCTTCTAACAAGTCACCTTCTACAAACCCCCAAGTTGACACAATAACCAAGGAGAATCACAGCAGAGCAGTGGAAACAAAAATCCCTACTGCATCGATACTTACCTGTGAATACACACACGCATCTATGTTTATGTACTATACATTTACATATACTTATGTGTGCTTTTATCACTATTACACAAATATGTATTGTTTTAGTCTACATTAATAAAAAATAAAAGGCAAATGTTTAAACCAAAAAGGAAAACAAGCAAAAAACATTCCGTATTCTATTTTCTTACAAGTTCAATTAAAAATAAAATCTATCTCCCAAATACATCATTTAGTAGAAAGAAAACTATAAGTTATAGTTTTAGAAGAAAATTAGGGTATAATCCGTAAAGTTTCTAAAATTAAAAACGTCAGATTTCTCAAAACACATCTACATACATGAAAAACAACATATGAAAGATACAAAAATTTGTAAGGTATGAATCAATTTTGTAAGGTAAGAATCAATTGAAGAGATCCAGTGTGCAACATTAGTATAAATATATTCTCTCCACTCCTGTTCTTTTGAGACGTTTCTCTGTTATGTAGCCTTGACTGTCCTAGAACTTACTACTTAGACCAGGCTGACTTCAAACTCAGAGACACACCTGTCTCTGTCTCCCGAGTGTTGGGATTTAAGGTGTGTGCTTCCATGACAGACAACAATGTAGTTATACTCTTAAGGATCATGAAGAATGAATGTTGAGTGGCTCTCATTATATGAATAATGTGTGAAATAATGCATATGCTAGCTCAACTGATTTATTCAAATATATGCATACTTTAGAACATGCTGTAAGCAATAAATGTATATAAGCTTGTTAATGAAAATGAGTAAATACATGTTTAAATTAACATGACCTTAGTATTAATTTACTATAAGCCTATCTTTGTTACAAATACCATTTATGCATAAACCTCAGTGAAATATTACCATGATACTCATTTCCTAGATCAGAAAACTAAGGCATAGGCAAGTTTACTTACCTAAACTAATGTTTTCCTGCCCTCGAAGACTTATTAAGACCACTAGTAACCACATGTAGATGAAACTATGTGCTTCTAAGTACACTTTAATTTCACAAAATACTTTGAATCAGAAAAATCAAACTTAGGCTTAGGCAATGGAACTAAGACTTTAGAGTCAGTAAAACTCTGGTTTTAGTCTACTACTTACTAACTTGGAGAATTTAGCAAATGATTAATTTCTCAGAGCTTTCAAAGGTTTAAAATAGATTAGCTAGGATTCAAGGGTTTCTTGTAGAATGCACTATCTGGATAAGAAATGAATCAACAGAAACAAGCATCATTTATATGATAACAAAAGGCTAAATACTATCTTTAAAATCAAACGGATAAGAAATGAATCAACAGAAACATACATCATTTATATAATAACAAAAGGCTAAATACTATCTTTAAAATCAAAGAGGAAACAATGTTTAAGAAAAGGCTACTCTTTTCCCTACTGTGAATGTTTACATCATTCAGTGGTAAATTATCCTGACTTTCCCCCACTAACTGTTACGAATACATAGTTAATCCTTTTTAATCCAAGAGCAAATTTACTTTTTGCAGTTAAGGGAACTATTTAAAGCAAGAGTAAGCTGGTTAGGAATTCAGGCACACACACCTCTTCTCCCACACACACATACCCCACTACAGTGTTTCAACTATCAAAGCCTCAGCTGGGGAAAATCAGGACAATCAATGCTTGCTCCCTTGTAACTGAGTACAACCAGAAAACCAAGCAAGTCTCTAGGGGTGCCTGTGGGATTTGTTACCTGACTGTTACCTCCTCCCTTAGAAAAAAAAAAAAAAAAAAAAAAAAAAGAAACCTTTGAAAAACTAAATACTTATCTAATCACAAGGTTATTTAAAATTTTAGCCAATTCAAGTAGTTGTTTTAATACTATTTATAATACTTGGTAGATATATTTCAGTAACTAAAGTTAAAAGGAATCACAGAGAAATAATAAATCTTAATAAGTCACTAAAGTCACAATTAATATGTTCCTGTACAGATATATGTTAATTACATTTTAAAAAACTCAGAAATATACCACAAATATTACCTTGGTGTTCCTCTAAATCCATATCAAGTTGTCTAATTTCTTCACTAAACTGATTTATTTTTTCCTTTATATCTGTTAACCTGTTAAAAATATTAATGAATTTTAGAAGCAACAAAATAAAAAGAAAAAACATAAATGAGCATCATCAAATTGAAAACTTTTCTATTACTAGAACATCATCAAAGATTAAATATATCTGAGAGACTGTGAGCATTTTTGTAAGTCATGCATCTGGCGAGTGAATTATAGTTTGAATATATGAACACCTTATTTTAATTTTACCAACAATAAGTTCACTTGAGAATGTGCAAAGAACATTAATAAATACTTCTTCAAAGATGACATACACATGACCAATAGCCCTTGAAAAAAAATTCAACACCATAAACCATCAAGGAATTGCAAGTGAAAGTCATAGAAAGATATTTTAATTCATATCTGTTGTCATGGCTGTAATGAAATGACAGATAATAAAAAAAAAGACAAATAATACTAAGTGATAAAAGTGTATAGAAACCTGGACTCATATACACTATAGGCAGAAATGTAAATTGTCAATTTTTATAGGATATAATATTTTTTATGTAGTCAATTGATCTAGACTAGACTCCAAATTTATAAAGTAAAACATAAAGTAACCACATAAGCCAGCAATTCCATTTCTGAACATTTATACAAGAGAAATAAAAATAAATTCCCACACAGAACCAGCTTATAGATGTTTATGTCAATATGATTCCTACTAGAAACAAGCCAAAGCCTACCAACTATAAACAAATAAAACATATTAGATGCATACAATAGAATATTAACTGGCATTAAGCCATAGATGAACCTTGAAAATGCTAGGCCAAATGAAAGAAGATAGCCACAGAGGACCGAAATCTGTATAATTTCACACATGAAACATCCAGAATAGGCAAATATACGTAGGAAGGGTAAGGAAAACAATAACTAAAAGCTATGGCATTTTGTTGGGAAGACTCAATGGGGTGCTCATTGTCCAACTGTAAACATAACAAAAGCTCTGGATGGTGTACTTTAAATATATAATGCACATAAGCCTTCTCTTAATAAAGTCATTTTTCAAAGCAATTACACTAGGCAAAGACTCAGAATTAAAAGCTAGAGATTGAAAGTTCAATAAGTATTAAATCATATATGTGAACTACAGGAAAATGCATATAAAGCAGGTACTATTATAACTTTAAGATGTAATCTGAAAGAAGAATGAATATAAAGATGTCCTTGTTCAAAGGTACTTACTGCCTCTCCATGCTGGCTATTTCCTGATTATCTTCTTTAACCTATATAGGCATAAAAAGAAAACAGTATTTAAAGAATAACTCATTATTAGACTATCTGAAAGAGACCATCACTAAGAAACTCTTCACAGATTCCTTCCCATTTTCCTCAAATATACTCTTACCTATTGTCCTGGCCAGTTTTATGACAGCTTGTTACAAGCTAGAGTTCTTTGAGAGAACCTAAACTGGGAAAATACCTTCACAAGATCAGGCTGTAAAGCCAGGTATTACTACTGTACACATCATTAATGTAAGCTATTAAGAGGCAGAGAGAGGAAGATCTCTGTGAGTTCAAAACCAGCCTGGTCCATATAGTGAGTTCCAGGACAGTCAGAGCTAAAGAGAGAACCGTCTATAAATAGATAGATAGATAGATAGATAGATAGATAGATAGATAGATAGATAGATAAATAAATTTTAAAAATCATGTTGTTAAAAAAAATCAGGCTGTTGGCAAGCCTATATAGCATTTTCTTAATTAGTGGCTGATAAAGAAGGGTTCAGACCCTTATGACTAGGGACATCTATGGGCTGGTGGTTCTGACTTCTATAAGAATGCAGACTGAGCAAACTATGGGGAACAAGCCAGTAAGCAGCAATTGTTCATGGCCCCTGCATCAACTCCTACCTCCAGATTTCCTGTCCTGTTTTAAGTTCTTGTCCTGGCTGCTTTTGATGATGACCTGTGATATGAAGTCTAAGTAAAACCCTTTCCTCCCCAAGTTGCTTTTAGTAATAATGCTTCTTCATAGAGATATAAACTCTAACTAGGACACTTATCTACCAGGTACTATGAGGTTAACATATCTTCCAACATGGGTCAGTTAACAGTAAGTATCTTGAATTCCTCAGACTCTCACACACACTAGGGTATAGTTATCAGATTTGGGAAACTCTAGTAAAATAAATTTTCAGAAAAACAAGTAACTTTTTAGGGGACATTTATACTATGCCATGTAGTAATTAGAATATACATAATCTTTCCTTATTCTATAGAAGATACACACACACACACACACACACACACACACACACATTTATTACTCCTACATTATCTTAAACTCAATGTTTTATTTTTGTTTTGTTTGAGACAAGATTTCTCTATGTAGCCCCAGCTGTCCAGAAACTCACTATGTAGACCAGGCTTGCCTCAAACTCACAGAGATCTACCTGTTTCTGCCTCCCAAGTCTTGGATTAAACAAGTGTGCCACCAGGCCCACTTAAGCTCAGGTTTAACTACCAATCCAACTAAAGATCACTCTCTCTTTTCCTGTCCCTAACCTTTTCTTTGTAAGGAATTTCTGTAGTTTTAGGTTAAAATGTTTTATAAAAATGTTTTATTTACTGTATGTGGTGGGGGGGGGGGTTTCACTATAGCACAAGTGTGAAAGTCAGAGGACAACTTGTAGAAACTAGTTCTTTCACTATATGGGTTCTTGGGATTAATCTCAGGCTGCCAGGCTTAACAGCAAGTGCCTTTACTGCTGAGACATCTCACAAACCAAGATTTAGACTTTAAGATCATTCTAGATTAAATTTCTTTTGCATGCCTGCATGCGTTCATGCGTGTGTGCATGTGTGTGTATGTGTGTGTGTATGTGTGTATTTATATGGGTGGTTTTTTGATTGTACATATTTCTACTTTTAAAAGATTTATTTATGTATATAGTGTTCTGTCCAGAAAAGGGCACCAGATCTCATTATAGATGGTTTTGAGTTGCCATGTGATTGCTGGGAGGTGAACTCAGAAGCTCTTCAAGAGCAAAGAGTGCTCTTAACCTCTGAGACATCTCTCTAGCTCCTAATATCATTCTAGAAAGATTGATTCTAACAGTCACTGAGTTGATCCTTAAGATTCCAAAAGCCCACAATGCAAAAAAAAAAAAAAAAGGAAAGAAAGAAAAAGAGAAAAAAGCCTCAGAGGAGTTTTTGGAGAGATCTCTGTCCCATAAGAAGATATAGTTCTCTGAAGAGCCTCAGACACAGTACATCTCAGCACAAACTGACAGCTAAGTTAAAGCAACCAAGAAGTAGTGGGAAAGCTATAGGATACATGGTATATGATTATGTCATTCATAATTTCATATGACAGCTAAATTCCATTGTCTGCATGAAGGCATTGATACTAAGCACACCAAAGTAATTAGATTTGGAATACTTCTTTTTGTAGCGATAAATATAAATAATAAACATGTTCAGTGAGATTATCTAACCACTTAAAATACCAATAAAGAAGTATCCATAAAATAATGGCTAAAATATGCACCAGAAAAATTAAAAATAAAGTATTTACTACAAAACCAAGTTGTTGGGAAGCAGCAGTCTGCTGACCCCGCCCCATGATGACGGGCCGGATGCTCATGGCCAAGTCTCCTCTACATCATGACTTACCTGGCTGCTCAAGCTTTACCTGGCTGCCAGGAGACTCAGTTATGCATGTGCAAATTTCCCTTTTAAAGCAAGCGCGCCTGCCTCTCTCTTGCTCTTTCTCTCTCTTGTTCTTCCTCTCTCGTCTCTCTTCTCTCTCTCCCCTGCTTTCAGTTGGCCACCAGCTATCCCCCTCTTTCTCTCCCCTCTCTCAATAAACTCCGGTGGGCGCTGAGTCTCCTGTTTGTATTTCATAGGCAATAATTATAGCAAAAGAACAACACAAGTTATTCAAGAAAGTAAGATTTTCTATATTTTCTTGGCTCAACATTTTATATCGAGGTGAAACTAACCTCGTTGTTTTTGAATAATAATAATAACATTGGTTTTCTGCTTAATTCAAAGCTCTTAAAACAAATAAATGGGTGGAAGTTGGGGTACACACATTTAATCCCAGCACTGAGTAGGCAGAGGCAGGCGAATCTCTGAGTTTGCTGTCAGCCTGGGCTACAGAACCAGCTCCAGGACAGGGCTGTACACAGAAAAACCCATCTCAAAAATATAAAATAAAATAAACTTTCTTCTAATACCTGTTTCAGCAGTCTCTCCCTCTCCTCCATTGGCGATCCCATGCTTTTGTCTTCTGCAATCATTTGATCTCGATGAGACTCTAACTCATAAAGTTTTTCATGTAGCAATACAGCCTCTTGTTTTACCTGGGAGTGTGCTATTTCCTAAGAACAAAGAAGGGACTTGAGTTGGGTTTTTGTAGAGACAGAAAGTTGAGATAAAGCAGTGAGGCTGTCCAGCATGACTGTCTCAGACAGACAGCAGAGCCCACACTGAGAATGCAATCTGGTGGCACAGGCAGCAGCTGCAGGGAAGGAGCTGCCTTAGGGAATGTATCAGTGACAGGTGAGGGAGAAGAACTGAGCACACTGCAGCCTCAGAGGGAGCAAACTCTGCTGACACACATGACTTCTAACCTCCACACCACAGGAAATTAAATGTTTACTGCTTTACTAACCCAGGCTGTGACTGTTTGTTACAGGAACACAGGGAAACTAATGCAGGTACAAACAGTTGCCGGGTATTTACCACACTTCCACTTTCACAGAAATTATCTCTAAAATGAAAACAGATGTGATCAAATTCTTTTAGATAAAAAGAGAAAGAAGTGACTGCAGTGATAACAATGGGTTAATAGACACTTGAACCTATTGTTTATTTATCTGTAGAACTATATACTTCTCTTCTGGCCTCTGTAGACACCAGGCATGCACATGGTGCACATACAAGCATGCAGACAAAATACTCCTACACACAAAATAAAAATAAGTCTTTTTTAAAAATATACATTTTCAATGGAGATTATTAATAACCCCAGAAAACAACTAACAAATTATTAAGGCTGTTTTAATCATAAACATTATGTAATGCACTAATTTAAAATAATGAAAGACAACTCTAAGATTATGCAAAGATAGTCAAAAAGATAGTATTAATGGGGGGGGGGGCGTGCACTACAGGTGCCATATCACAATTTCAAACATGAATCCCATTTGAAGTTTTCCACTATTTTAAAAGCAAGAGAGGATTACAGCACTGCCGTGAAGAATAAATGAACATACTGGTGATGTGTATAAAGAGCTCATAAAATTGGGTAGGGAAGAAATACACATCAAAGTAGTTCTATCTGAAAGGGGTAAGAAACAAACATTTTTAAGATGTATTTTTTTTCAATTTTAAAACCATATACATGCACTTTAGTCTGTGAACTAAAACTCTTTAAAAAAGAAAATTACAAAAACAGGGAGACACATGGGATCAGAATACATGACATGAAACCCATAAAGAATCAATAAAAGTTTTTTAAAACGGAGGAAAGAAAAATGCAAATGTTATAGCCACAAATGAGTTTTTTTCTCCCCTCTTTTCCTGTTTGTCTCCTATAGTATACATAAACTGCAGTTACATTTTTGCACAGCACTGTAGGGCAATGAATTGCTTTGTACACAGTAGTTACTAAAAAAACAAAACAAAAAATAAATAACAAAAAAACAAAACAAAACAACAAAAACCAATGTATTTCTTGCCTATCTGAGACTTTTGTGGTCCAAAATGGGAAGAAACTATATTGAACTCCTGTTAGTAAACTGCTGAGTGCATGAGTTCAATTAATGTCCCCCTGAATTATCTCAGAGCTTAGTGACAGGAAAGCACTCCCATGACTTATACTCACAGTTTCTAGGCTCTCCTTTTTTATGTTCAATGAATCTAGTTGTTGTTGAAGTGTATCTAATTCCTAGGGGGAAAAAAGGCAAATGTAAAGTAATATTTTTTCTTCATTTTTTTAATATCTCACCTACAAATGTGATAAAGTAGATTTTGTAAATGTATTCAATTTCTATCTTTTCCTATTGACTACAACTTACCAAGGTTTCATCCTATTTGGGATAGTTCCTTTCATTAGTTCTAAAATCCTTCCCATCTTCAAGACCTGCATAAGTTTGTCACAATTATCCTACCAGTGTTATGATCATTGTAAGTATAAGAAACCTTCAAACTAATGATGTCATTGTTCAAAATCAAGACTTAAAATTCTAATCTTTAGCCACATTCTCAAGTCTTTTGACTAACCGTTTTTGGGGCCAAGACTTACACATACATGGGAGGAGGAAAAAGGGAGAAAGATGGAGGGAGGGAAAGACAACTGACCACAGAGGGAAAAGGAAGAGAAGGGGGAAGGAAGAGAGATGAAAGAGAAAGAACCAATGATTAGTCATTCATGACCCCTGTGTAAAATGTAATATACTTTGGTAATAGTTTGGCATTTCTACAATAGTCTTTCTTCAGTGATTCATTTTATCCAGTAAATTTTGTCTAACATTTAAAAAAAGTTCTACTAAAATTAAGAAATATCTGGAAAATAAACAATATTCATTACTGGTGGCTATTGGCCCAAATTTTTGGTAATTCTTCAGGAAGAGTGTCATCTGGGTTTGAATAAGTATGGTGATGGTTACCTCTGAGAGGATTATCAGCAGGCACCTAATAAAGAGGTTTGTTGCCTATCAAACATGGAGGAATATGAAAGAAAACTAGTATCCATGGCCTCTGGCCTGTGAGCCCCTTTAACGTTTCCATTAAAAGTTAAAAAAAAAAAAAAAAAAAAAATCCAAGTTTTTAGACCATGTGTGGTGGTGCATGTCTTTAATCCCAGCACTTGGGAGGCAGAAGCAGGAAGCAGAGATAAGAGGATCTCTGTGAGAAAATGAAAAGATGTGGATTCCTTCCAGACTAATGTGGTTTGATCACGCCAGACCACCTGAAACAGAGTACAAGCTGATCCTACATTCAAAACAGCTGGACAAAACAGCCCTACAGACTACAGCCAGGATATCTGAATCTTCTTCGAATCCTCCAAGATAGCGCCCCTTACCAGCAGGAAGTAGTTTGGAAAGAACGACGCCCAAATTCCCAAATATTGTCTATAAATGTTTGTTTTCATTTAAATGGACTTGGTTATATAAAATAAATAAAAAGAGGCTCTCTGTGAATTCAATTCCAGCCTAGTCTAAAAAACAAGTTTCAAGGCAGCCATAACTACATAGTGAACCTTGTCTTAAATAAGTAAGTTCATTCAAGTGCATTCATATACCTTCATGACATATAAGACTGAAAGATGCAGAGAACTAAACTATTATGTATATTTTTAAAGCTACAACACCATGAAACATAAGAAAATGAATCCTATATCAGTGCTTCTCATACTTCAAAAGATCAAGAAAATTATCTGAGGACTTTGTTACAGTTCAGTGCTCAGAGACAATGAAGTTTATTTTCAAATTGTACCTTGACTACATGGAGCATGGTACTACATGCCTAACACACACACAGTAACATTACCTGCAAGAGTTTCTCGTTTGTGGTTTTCATTTCTATATACTTGACTTGTTTTTCAGGAGACATATTTTTGATAATGCCATCTGCTGCTTGCTTTTCTTGTTCAACTTCTTCTTCTACACTTCTGATTTGTTTTTCCTTCCTGAAATCAAAAGCATGGAATGTTCCTGTTAGTATATTGAGGGGGAAAAAAATCATATAATTTTATTTAGCGGTACTTAAAAAGAAAATCAACCATAGTGTATGAAAGAAAGTCCTTATATTTATATTTGAAAAGTACAAAAAAAACTTGATCCCCTTAGCAGATATGTTTCTCTTCTGCATCCCCAAATCCAGTTTCTTTATTCTCCATTTAAAAATATAAACAAAAGAGAAAGATCACCACATACAATCTCTCAGGCCTCGTGTACATATGAGGGTTCATTTAATCTTTTGGTGCTCTGTAGTGATAGCTTGTTTATACTCTAACAAATAAAGATCAGAGGGTGGATCCTAGAGCCCTCATCTAGTAGCTGATGGAAACAGAAGCAGACACCCACAGCTAAACACTGAGCTGAACTCCTGGAATCCAGGTGCAGAGAGGGAGGAGTGATAAGCAAAGGGGTCAAGACCAGGCTACAGAAATCCACAGAGACAGCTGATCTGAACAAGAGGGAACTCATAGACCCCCCAGACTGATAGCTGGGAAACCAGCATTGGACTGACCCAGACCCCCTGAACGTGGGCCTCAGTTAGAAGGCCTGGGCAGTCTAAGGGACCTCTGACAATGGAATCAGGATGTATCCCTAGTGCCTGAAAGGACTTTGGAAGCACATTCCCCATGGAGGGATACTTCCTTAACCTAGAGACAGGAGAGAGGGCCTAGGCCCTACTCCAAATGACAAATTTTGATAATCCCTCCTAGAAGGCCTCACCCTCCCTGTGGAGTGAGTGCAGAATGGGATGGAGGGGGGTTGGGGGAGCATGGGAGGATGGGAGGGAGAGGGAACTGGAATAGATATATAAAATAATAAAAAAAGAAAAAGAAAAATTTAAAAAAAACAGACGGTGGCACTAGCTACTAGCTAAATATAGAAGTCTGAAGACAGGAAATGAGATGGCTGGGCAGAGGCAAATATAACTGGGAAAAAACAGGAACTCAGTCTCTTTTCAGTCTGAGGATTTCATAAAGGTTAGAACTCTAGTGGCTGGCTGCTCTGCTTCTCTGATCGTTCATCTTTCAACCCTTAATATCTGACTCTGAGTTTCTATTATTAAGCCCAATAAATTAGAACTCATGTTACAGTGATCATACTCCAAAAAAAATAGTGATTTTCAAACGTCAGTTAGTTGCAGCATTCTTTGATCAAGATAAACTCTGCATTGAAAGTTACTACATAAATTACCTAAAGCATGGCAGCTCTGACTAAAATGGCCAATATGGAGAGCTACATTGCAATGTGAATACTTTTTTTGGATTTATGTATCTTATGTGAATGAGTGTTTTGATGCATGCATATATGTGCTCCATGTGTGCCTGGTGACCTCAGAAGTCAGAATAGGTTATCAGATCCCTGCAACTAGACTTAGAGACTTGTAAGCCACCACGTGGGTGCTGGGAATCAAACCCCAGTCCTCTGCAAAAACAAGAACAAGTGCTCTTAACCACTGAGCCATTGTGCGAGCCCCACAATTTGACCTTTAAAAAAAAAAGATAATCACAGATTGGGTGAGGTGGTTCAGTGAGTCAAAGTGCTTGCTGCTCATGCCTGATGATCTTTAAATCTATGGAACCCAAAGCAGAACATGAAATCCATACATTTTCCATGTTAATTAAGCACTCTTGTGCACATACAACAATAATAAAGTTCTAATAAAAACTTACAATGAAATTATACCTTAAGATCAATAATATGCTTTACTTAAATGTGCTTTTTACCTATTGCTTTAAATACAATGGTTTGGTGGTTTGAAAGAAAATAGCCCCTAAAGGGAGTAGCACTATGAGGAGGTGTGGCCTGTTAGAGGAAGTGTGTCCCGTGGGGGTGGGCTTTGCGTTCCCTTTAGCTCAAGCTTCCCTCAGTGTGACTGTCGACTTCCTGTTGCCTGTAAGATGCAGCACTCTCAGCTCCAGCCCCATGTCTGTCTGCATACCGCCATGCTCCCCTTCATGATGATAATGGACTAAACTTCTGAAACTGTAAGTGAGCCATCCCAATTAAATGTTTCCCTTATAAGAGTTGCCAAGTTAACCTGGAGAGAGGTTAAGAGCACCGGCTGCTCTTCAGAGGACCTGAGTTCAAGTTCCAACATTCACAAGGTGGATCACAACCATCTATAATGGGATCTGGTGCCCTCTTCTGGTGTGCAGACAGGAAAAATGCATACATAATGAATAAATAAATTTCTTTAAAAAAGAGTTGCCAAGGTCATGGTGGCTATTCACAGCAATAAAAATCCTAATTAAGACAAATGAGTATTTAACAAGTATAGTTTAGCACCATAATACATAAATAGTCTGAAAAATATAACTATTGTATAATAATGATGATCATCCTAATCATGAAATAACAAAAAATACCACTAGTGTACCCTTTATTTTATTTTCTACACAATCAATTACTAATAGGGTAAAGAGAAACTTTCTATTTAAAAAATATTTTTATTAATTCTTTGAGAATCATATAATGTATTTTGATCCCCTATTCCTCCCATACCTACCCTCTCTACCCTTACATAGCTCCCTCTCTCTCCCCAACTTTTGAATTATCTGTCCTGCCCCCAGTACAGTGCAGTTTATGTTATACAATTCTGATGGGCATGGAGCCTGTCCTGGAGTATGGTTGACCTACTGGGGTTATTTCATTAAAGAAAGCTGACACAATTTATTTGGTAGATATTATGGCCCATGCCTTTAATCCCAGTACTTGAGCAGAAGAGGCAGGCAGATATCTGTGAGTTCAGGACTAGCCTGGTATACATAGGGAGTCCTGGGCCAGCCAGAACTGCATAGTGAGAGCCTATCACAAAAAGAAGAAAAAAAAAAATGTAATGAGTGAGTTTCAATAACAAATTTTTAGTACCCAGATCACGAATTTCTCACTGATTTTCAAACAGCTAATTAACCTATCATTATTTGCAGCCTTTGTTCATAGATAACAATTTCTACTGTCGTCAATCAATTAGCAGCAAAGTCTATTAGATCCACATACCTTCTATACACTCACATCCTACAACTAGCAAAAGGAACCAAAACTTAGAATATTTCCTACAAACATCTCAGAATAACCAAATCAAGGTAATGGAATAGACAACTGGCAATTTCCATTCACTTTTGCCTCACTCTTGAACAGGCAATGATATTTTCCTTCTGATCATCAAAAACTATAATGAAACAATGTGTTCTCTACTGCCAAAATTGAGGTGAGTACATGAGCTCACAGAAAGCTGAGCATAAAGTGCTATTTATTTCCTTCTTTGTTTTATCATGTTTACTAAGATTCTAAGGAGCTATCTTTTGGGGTAAAACAACTCTACATTTCATTAGTCAACACTCATTCTTTCCATGTGTATGCAGTTAAATGGGAGCTAATATTGTATAGTACTCCATTTACAGTGAGTTAAGATTACATCACAAGGAAGGTATCCTATTTTCTGAAGGCATTTAATGGCTGTCAGGTCTTGAGGACTTTGCCTCTGTTATAACCTGGCAGTAAAGTGACAAATAAAAGCAAGGTACCATAAAATGAGCAAACAACAACGTTGAAAAGTAGGTGAATATAAAACTTGAATTTGAATCTAACAAAATACAAAATCACTTTATAATTAACCCACATTGCTTTAGAAATATCTTTCAAAACTACTCTAAATATTGTACATTTTAAGCCACAAAATGAAACTGTTAATATTTTGATAAAATTTTGAAACAACAGAAAACACAAAAACCAAGCAAACTGTTACTTGTTTCACTAAAAAAGTCAAGAATGTCTTTAAGAAACTGGGCTTCTAGTCAATCTTTTGCTAAGGAAGCCCAGCTTCTTCTGAATTGCTTGTTCACTGGGTCCAAAGGTTAAAACAGTGAGATACAATCGTCTGACACAGGCTTTCCTGATGGCGTAGAACAGAAATACATGTCTTGAGCATACCCGTCTCAGAAACAAAAAGGACAAAGCAAAGGTAAGATCTTATATACTTAAGGTCTAGTTGTTGTTACTGAGTTAAAAAAAAAAAAAAAAAAATTAAATTCGTTACACCTGTAGAACAATCCTTGCCTTTAGTGACATCGACCAGAAAACACAATCATATTTTAACATTGTATACTTAAGAATAATATAAACCTAGGAAACAGCCAATGGCTCTTTACAAATAAAGTTCTCATCTAGCTAATCAAAATTTTAAGAATGTTTTTTAAGCTTTTAAGCTTTTAAATGTTAATCAGAAGTCTGAAGTCACTTTCATCTTAAAACAAATTTATAAGATTAAAAGAATCACTACTTGAAACTATTGAAGTTGGGTGATAACTATTATTACTAAAGAGTTTTCAAAAATAATTTCCAATGTCAGTAATTTATTATTTAAGTTTTAAAAATCAAAAATCACATAGCAGTTAAGGAAAGGTTAAAGATAACTTAATCATTAACATCTCACTCCAAATGTAATGCATTTGGTACAAATATCTAAGACATTGAAGAACAAAATTACTACCAGATTTTATTAATAAAATCAAAGTAAATACTACATCGTTTTATCTCCTGTGTATAGTATGTCACATAAACATAAGCTAAAATTGTACTGGAAACTTCTTATAACAAGAACATTATTACTGTATCAACATCATTCCTTTGTGTATAGATTTGGTTTCCCTGTGTAAAGTCTCTTAAAATCCATAAACCAGCTAATGGAAACTGGTGCTCTGTTTCTTCCTGATTTTATTCTTTTTAAAACACAAAAATTATTTTAAAGTAACTTTCACTTTGAGAAAAACATCAAAAAGAAATGGCTTTTTTAAAGTGTCTTTTTTAAAAATAAACTTTTGAAGAAATGGTTTTGTCTGGGGATTTATGTAGCATCATAATGGTTCACATTCACTCTCTGTTGATATCTCCCCTAGCAAAAAATACAAGCTTTCATGAAAAAGCCTGTAGACAGTGTGGGCTACAACTT